CTACCTTTCAACCCTTATGTCCCCTCCTGAGAAGTCACTCCCGTGCCTGCAGCATCACCAGCTGCTGAGAGCATAAGGAGCCCAGAGGCCTAGGACTCAGTTTAACCAGGGGGCAGCAGGCACAGTGGAAGGCAGGCAGCCAGCAGGAAATGGTGAGACAAGACTAAACCAAGTGTCAGCAGAGAGAAGCACAACAAGATCAGGAGCGCAGGCAGGAAGTGCGGCGCCCAGTGATTGAACTGGCTTGCAGAGGTTGTTAATGTTAAGACCGTGCAAAGCACACTGATGTGTTAGCACAAACTTCATCCACAAGCAAGGTGGGAATGGGGGGAAGCCGATTCTGCCCTGATCTGTGCTTATCTCACACAGTCCTGGGGTCAGGAATGAAGCGTGGCCTGCCCAGAAAGATCCCGGTGCGACCGGGCTGCAGTAAGGGAGCTGGAGGGAGGCGAGACCCGCACCACGGGTCACCACAGCACAAGGACTCAGCAGACAGGGTCTCTCCCTAGCCAAGGATCCACCCCCAAGGGAATGGGGAGCCCTGGACGGATGGGACCTAGGCTGCAGTGGAGGAGGGAGGATGACAACCAGGCACCCTCCATGGGCCACATGCAGAGGGCGGGATGCAGCCTCCCCCAGCCAGCACAGGCGAGGGGGGCTGGTCTCAACTCCTGTGGCAACAGCCCCCACATCCCAGCCCCATCCCGGGCACTGCCGAGCAGAAAGAACGGGGGCACCGCAGACGTGTGCGAGGATCCCTCTTGCCCCCTCTGGAGGCAGCAACAAGCCTCAGGGCCGACGGCAGCAAGGTGGGACGAGCAGCACCAGGAGCCTGAGCTTGGGCGCCAGGGGGCAGGGGGGTGGACATTGCAGGTCCCAGGCAAACCGGCTCCTTACAGGGTCCAGGATGCGGTGGAAGCGACCCATGCGCTCCACCACCCAGGCCTCCTGCTGCGGCACAAACAGCACCACTGTGTTGAAGGGCAGCCCCGACGTCGTGGATGCCGCCCGCCACGGGCTCTGTGAAGGGAAGGAAGGAAGGAGACGGTGCCACGGTCAGGCCTGGTAGGACCTCCGCCACGACCCCCCCACCACCCTGCTATAGACCTCTCTGCCCCCCCACAGCCCGCTGCCCCACCCCCACCAAC